GTTTTCAGTATAAAACACTCACCTTTTAGATTATTATTTAAACAGGATTCTTAACATTAGTTTGGTCTGTATTATCCTTAACTATATCACATCATAAAAACATTTACGATATTTAAAGAATTATTATAGTAATACAAGTCATTTTGTTGCTTAAAAAGAAAAAACATATTCAACTTGTATTCCATACATCAAAAGCAAAAACATATTGTGTTGCTTCGAAATCATTATAATTTATTTAAAGTCATAGGTTTTAATACTTTTATCAAATCTTCTATTCCAAAATATATATAGAAATTCATAGTTTATATGATTTCGACTTATTTATCCTCGTCATCATCGTTCGTAACTATTTTAAAGGTGATAAGCCTTCAACTTTGTCATCTAACGTTACAGACTTAGCCTTCAATTAAGTTCTTGTAAAGGTTGAGTGATCTTATGACTCTTCCCCTACGATGAAGTTTATCTAATTAATGACTGCTATCCATTTAATTCTCAAATGCAACTAAAATGGTTAACAACTTTTGTTAATTATTTAGTTACTTCACTCTTAAAGCATCTTATTAAAGATTTATGACATTTCATTTTAAATTCCTTACCGAAAATTGATATTTGTCATATAAATACACTTGTCTATTTAATATTAGATAAAAGATCATTTAAGATTAGATAAAAGATCATTTTATTTCTCTTGACCTGAGCTCGGACCAGAATTAATTTCTCAAATATTTTTTTAAAAGTTCAAAATTTTGGGACTTTATTGAGGCCTATTGAGGGCCTAAATTTGGAGATGATTTAGAAAGAAAAATGCTTATAAAAATCCAAGAATTTAGAAATAATATAAAAGAAAATGGTGAAAAATAAAAAAGAAGGGTCAAAGTCAACCATGATGGATAAAATGGTCATTTTGACCGTTCTTTCATGTCTGTGAGAGTCCTGCCCATTCCTAAACCGGGTCTGACCTAGTAACCCTGCTCCTAATCCACCACCGCAAGTCGACTCGATTCAATAGCATCAATACAAGCGCCATGTGTCGCCCATGAGCGTGGCTTCTCCTATGGAGGCCTCGTGAGTGTAAGTTCATATCATATCATGAACTCTTTGTGGGCATATCCTTCCCTAGTTTATCATATTCTTAATGTCCTTAGGCATATCTCAGTCATATTATTACCTGAATGTACCTTAGTCGTAAACGTTACAGGAACGCATCCTAACGCTATCGTTCTATCAATCTATCATAATTCTATCCCTTTCTACCCACAACCTAATCATATTCTTTATGCATCGATTGTAACCATATCGTTGTTATCAATCTCTCATACCATAGCACTTCGATACGTAACCTAACCTTAATGTTTCATGAACATGTCTTACTCCTATCGTTACATTACGTTTAGTGCATCCTTTCGTATCCTATCTCAAACATATCATTGAACACATCGTACCGTAAGTATTATCATACAATTCATATATTAAAACATATCATAAGCATATCGATTCACAAACAATTCACACATATGAATATATATGACACGTGCAGAACCACGGGCACGTGTCAACATCAAATACAACCATGCCGATAGTAACACCATTTACTTGGTTAGCTTTTAGTTATTGTCACGAATATATCCTTAATGAAAGTTCAATTTTGTCCTTTGAAATCCAAGTCAACCTATGTGAATTGTTAAAAGTCTTGAAAGGTTTTATATATATATATATATATATATATTATATATTATATATATATATATAAAAGGTTATTTTCACTAAATATCTTATTTTCTATTATTACTAGTAGGGAATATATCAGACAAAATTTAATAGAGTTTCTTGTCTTATGATATTTTCGGTTTTATTTTAAAATTCTATTCACCAAATCTTTCCTCAATCTTCCTTGTAATTACCATTCTTTGGTGAATAGATTTTCATTCTCTAATTAGATATTACTTACTTATAGAACTGACAACTAACATTGGCCAATTTTCATTCCATATTATTCGCCAATTTTAATAATTGTTTGGCTACTGATCTTAGATATTTATAAAACTGACAACTAAAATTGTATCGATTCTAACCTTATTTCGTATAAATTAATAGAAATCTAATTAATTGGATATGAGAAGATGAGATCTCCTTATTACAATGGTCTTGTAAAATATTGGACAAAGGAAAGAATATTTGATTCCAACTTAATTTCTCATAACTATAACTATAAAAGAAAAGGAAATTTGAAATAAGATTTACTATAATAACAGATCATGATCTCTTAAATAAATCTGCATCATATCTATCTCTCTATTGAAAGTCATTTTACTTCTCCTCAAATCTAACATTCTTTTGTTTATTTTTGGATGAACTGTGATATTGTGTCGTGGGTTAAGGGGAAGAAAATGGGGTTGGAATGAGAGGTTAGTGAAGAGAGATGATTAAATTATTATTTATTTATTTTTATTTTTATTTTTGGGCTCATACATATCAGTAACATTTAAGGTGAAAATACTTCATTTAAAACATTATAATAAAATGTGATCTTGGTCTTGCATATGTCTCATTTAAGGCCTTTAAATAAGCTAATACAAATTGAAATAAGAAGAAAAATATCATAAAATAAAATGCTCTAACCTATATGCTACTCAATGGAAATACAACTAACTTATACTAACCTACCGTCTACTAAATTTAAATTACGAAACTATCCTAAGCATGTGTCACGGCTTCGTAGTTGCGATGTTATCATTAGCCGTATAAGGGAGTCTTACTTTTACCTCAAAAATAGAGTAGCACATGACTTGAGTATTTTAATAAAATACTCATAAGAGATCTCGGATTCGATGCAAACACATACAATTTCATGAATGAGACCTATCATAATAGTCTATTTTCCTATAGCGGCTATCCTAACGAGAAAATTGGATGTACACTTAATTTTCCTACACACGATCCACACGTGTGAGTATGGACCCACTAGTCGGTTTGCACACCTTCTAGGCCCCTTTCTGGTGGTGCGGGCATTCTCTAGTAGTTGTTGATGTCGGACACCCGTTAGGAATATTGACCATCACGACAACATTATGATAAACATAATGATCGTTTCCCTGCCTTATAGCGTACGCGTCCATATTATAGTGAAGGAGATGCATGAGCACATAATAATGCATGAGGTCTCAACATTTTTCATTTTCATTATCATTAAATACAACCCCGTAATGTCTTCCTCCATATCATATAATTTAATCATATCATTTCTCATATCGTTTGTCATATCATTTATCATATCTTTCATGCGTATGTCGGGCTTGTATTTCATACTAGTTCGCCATTTTGCATGTGAATCACATCATATCATTCATGACGCACATATACCATATCATAACGTCTTCATGCCTTCAAACTTAACAATCCACATCATGCATATATCATATCATATATCATAACAACATGTCTTAAACATATCATATCTTAACATAACATATCATAAACATATCAATTCACCCCATACAACATAACAATCACATCTCATAACACAGACATATTATTTCATAATAATTTGCATATACGGGCATGTGACACGTGCAAAGCTACGGACACTTGTCTTCATATAGCACACAATTATAACCAAACAATGGTAGGGTCACTACATGGTTGGCCTTCGCCGGCGTTTTCCTTAATTCGAGTATGTTCGCTCTCGTTCCTCGAAATCACTCCAATTATCGCCGATCGTCGTTTCCTATTAAAATATCGATCCCATTTCGTTAGTAATTTAAGAATTCCTAACTCAATCGAATTTAAATTGAGAAATTTACCCTTATACTGACCTTATTTGCCTTAAATAAGGTCAAATTAAGCTTTTGGATGGTTGGAACGATGGGAGTTGACTAATTTTTCCTTACCGAGTCGTTTAAGTTGAGCCGAGCCATTTAAGCAGAGCTGACTGAGCCATTTAAGCCGACTGAGACTTTTGGATAAGTATATAAGGTATGTTATGGTTACGAAAATACCCCTAGGATTGATGGATGTTATTTCCCCCTAGAGCTAGCGTGAGTGTTTAGATTACGTTTTGTGTGTTTCAGGTAATCGATAAGATTATCTCCCTAAGAAAACACGAATTAGTAAAGCCCATGGATACCTGTTAAGTCATTTTATACTCACCAATTTCTCTTTTTCTTAGGTGATCGCAGGCTGCAAGTCGAGGTAAGGGAGCGTTCAAGAGCTACGCGGTCATTGAGGGGGTCATTCTGAAGCGTCTATCCGTCGATGTATTTGACATCGTATTCCATATCCTTTTATCTCATTTGTCATAAACTTGAACAACATCAACTTGTATTTGGGATTTAGTTGTATTTTAAAATTATGGTATTGCTGTGTCCCCTTTAATTAGATTTAAATTTTACCATATTTTTTTATCTTTTATTTTATTTGCTAAAGTCTTTGTTTTTTAGTCACGGTCCCATATTTGAAACCTCGAAAATCGAGTCGTGACATCAATACTTAGTCATATCATTAAATATATCTTTTTAGATTAGTTTTAGTACATATGCTTTTGATTATTGAAGTGTCTGTAAACTAAAGTTTCTACTCTTCCATAACCCAACAGTGTGTAAAAGACAGTCTAAAAACAATCTTGTTTATTATGCCATCTTTAACTCGTTTATATCAGTGACGATAGTGGATTAATTAAAGAGTTTAATTAATTAATTTTTTATTCTTAAAGTTTATTATATTAATAAATAATAAGAAAAATACGAATTTAAAATATTAAATATAAAAGATAATTATTGTATTGGATAGATTTAAGTATAAAAATAATTAAAGATACATTAAATAAAAAAATATATAAATGAAATAAAATTGAAATAAAAATTACAGACATTATTGAAACATATTGTAATAATTTTGCAAACACCACTTTTATTGGCCTTCTATTTCTATAATATATATTATATATATATATAAATAAATGTTTTGTTTTTAAAAAATTGTGTATATATACCTCTACTCATGCATTAACCCTCTCTGCACTTCACCTTCCTTTCTCTCTCTCTGACCTTTTTCTCTCTGTGTTCTTCCATTTCCATGGCGGCCCTGGAGGAGCATTACCAATCCAAGCAAACCAACAATCCCACTACTCGCTTGAAGCTCTTTGGATTTGACGTCCAAGAAGATCTTGAAGACGATTCCACCCCTACTCCCTCTGCCTCCTCCGACTCCGCCGCCGCTCCCTCCTCCGGCGACCGTAAATACGAGTGCCAGTACTGTTACAGAGAGTTCGCCAACTCCCAAGCCCTCGGCGGCCACCAAAATGCCCACAAGAAAGAGCGCCAGCAGCACAAACGCGCCCAATTACAAGCCTCCCGAAACGCCACCGTTTTTAGAAACCCCATCGTTTCTGCCTTTGCTCCACCGCCTCACCTCCTCCCCTCTGCCGTCCTCACCTCATCATCTTCCTGGCCGCCGGTATATATGCCTCAGGCCCCACCCCAATTCCAGGTCTCCCACGGCTGCGTCTTCACCCCACCGCCGCCACCGCCGCCCTTCTTTTCAACCGGGTCTCGGTCGGCTCACGGGATAGTGGATGGCCCGTCGCTGAGCCGGTTCTCCACCGTGGAGGATGGACCCGGGTTCGATGATGGACCGGGTTTGGATTTGCATCTCAGCCTCGCACCGTCGGCGCCATGAAAATCGAAGCCCCCAACTTTTTTTTTAAATTTAAATTTTAGGGTCTGATTATTGAAAGAAATTAATGGTTAGTGTTTTTTTGCTCTTTCTTTTTCTTTAAATTTGGGCTAAGAAAAACAAAAAATGGAAAAAAAAAAAAAACACTGATGATGAGCATGTTCATGATGGTTCATCATCATCCATCATCCATCATTCTATTGTATAATTTTGAAATTTATTTATTTATTCTTAATTTCTGCCAAATTATATATTCTAACCATTTAAAAGGTTTGCTCATAATTAATGCATGCTATTGTATACGGCCTGTGATATCAATTCATATGTTAAAAGATTTAATTGAATTTTTTTTTGGGATTTATCATTATTATTTTTTAATTTTTGTCCAAAGATAACTTAATAAAAATATCTTCCAACTTTATACGTGGTCTAAAAAATATTTATAAACTTTCGAAAGTTTCAATAATATCATTAAATTTTAAAAAAAAAAAATCCAAAAGATACCATTATTATTAGTTTTGGATGAAAACCATTAATATTTTGTTTAAAAAATACTAACCTTTAATATATGTTTGAGATTAAAAAAATTTCATCCATATCATTCAACTTTTTTTAAATACTTTTATTGTTAGTACTATATTTAAAAAAATATTTATAAAATTTTAAAAGTAATATTCTTACCGTCAATATGTGGATGAAAATCGTCTACTTCAAAGATTATAATATTACTTCCAAAAGTTTATAACTATTTTTGAAACGTTTTACTAATTATAAAAGTATTTTAATTTTTTAAAAAAAGTTTAATGAAAACTTTTTCGAAAATTTTTAAAGGTATTATTGAAATTTTTAAAAAATTATGGATAGTTTTTTTAGACAAAATCAAAATTAAAGAATATTTTTATGAATTGAGCCTTGAAATTATGGGGAGGAGGTAGATAACAAAATAAATAAAAATAATAAAAAAAAAAAATCCCTTGTAAGCTAATTTTTTAAAAATTTAAAAATTAAAGGGCTATAAGATTGTTGTATTTATATAATAATAAAAGACATTGATTTTATGATAAATGAAATTTTATATCCGATTATTCCGATAATTTCTTCCACATGTGAGCGAAGATGAAATTAAGCGTTATTGATTTAGAGAGATCTTATTTTTCTAAAAAATATTAAGTACAAACAAAATATACTAAAAGAACGGGTGTTAGTTTATGAGGATAACATTCACCTTTCGAAATAGCTTAAGTCAAGTAAGTAACATAATCACGCCACATGACAAATAATCGTGCAGACAAAACGTCAGAGACGTCAATTATCAAATTCAATTTATAAAGCTTAGTTAGAACCCTAAAGATTAGAGGATGCAACATTATATTAATTAATTAAACATTAGGTTTATCTCGAAGCTATGCTCTAAAAAGAGAAACCTCCAAAATTCATACTTTGATTAATTGGGTGTGTTTTGTTTATTAATTGTGAGCCTTTGTTCAATATGAGTGGCCACTCAGATCATTGTCATTTGGACATTAAAGTAATCAGTTTTAAAAATTCATATTTTGCAACTTGTAACTCAATAATTTTAACTTACATTTATCAAAATAAAAAAAATAAAAAAAATAAATCCCTATAATTTGGATTTTTTTTTTCTTTCTCATGTAGTATATTAAATATCTTTTGAAATTAATATTATTAGATGTATTCGACCCTACAAACTGTTCTTACATACTAAATGTGACATCCGAGTAAAGAAAAAATACATGAATGAATCGATACTATATCTGAATGAGAGCAATCCTGATAATATACCAACAATGTGCACCTTCATTTTTTATTACTCAATCATAAAAACTCAAAAGTTAAACGTGTTTTACTTGAGTCAATCTTATATTGGGTGATCTGTTAAATGAGGACAAAACATGTCGAAATGATTTGTGTTATGTTATGACAATCTAATCCTAGTTCAACTAATTTAAATACTATATTCTTAAGATTTAAATCCCTATCATTGTATTGAGAATTTAACTGTTACGTACCTTTATCGAAACACACAAAATGAGAGTTTTTATTCAATTCATTTCTTTTTTCTTCAAGGTGGTGGGGACTTCGATTTCCTTGTACCAGGACTCTACCCCCCTTGCAAATAGGATGCTGACCGAGGTGAAGCTGGAAGCCAACATAGACTTTCCTAAAGTGGTGGGCCTACCCATCCCAACTAGGAGTATGCTCGGATTTGCGATCTTCCCTTTCTATTCCTTAAGCAGAGAGCATCGAACCTTTTGGTATGTATTGTCTCCTAACTATAGATTAGATCCATTGGACAAGAAACTCAATTCTGCACTGTCTGAGTTGTGGGCTTATCCCCCACTAAGGGTGGGAAGGGCGTGGCAGAACCTTACAGTAGGAGGGTTTTTATTGCTGTAACGAGTTTAAATAGGACTGAAGTGAGGATTAGGACATTGCACAATAATCCGAACACTTCGTCACAAGAACGGACAAAGTATCTTTTGGCTTTAATGGCCAAATTCAATATGACTACGACATGGCATTCTCCATAACTGTTCAAATAATTTGGATTTTTTCCTTCAGAAACTGTACAGTCCATACCTAAATTGGGAAGGACAAAACTCCCACAATCCATTCCGCCCATTATATTCATTTTTAGACAATGAACCCACCACTAGTCTTTCAAATCACTTCATCTCTAGGGGCTTAGATATGTAGGCATTGCTGCTAAAAACATCCAAATTTGATGTGTTTTTGAGTTCAAGTAATTTAACATCGTATCAGAGCATCAAATTTTTTGGACCCGTATCGTAAAACCCATTTTAAAAAAAAAAAACAAAAAAATGTAACTCTCTCTCACACTCGGGGCCAAATCCTCCCCTTGAACAAAGTACACGCTAAGTTTAAGGCATGACTCTGATATCATGTTAGGAATAACGGACTTCCACCGTGATACGATATTGTCCACTTTGAGTATAAGCTCTCATGACTTTACTTTGGGCTTCCGCACAAGGCCTCATACTAATAGAGATAGTATTCCTCACCTATAAACTCATGATCTTCCACTAAATTAGCCAACGTGGGACTCACTCTCAATAATAATCCTCAACCGTCAGAAGGAGTTGACAAAAAAGTGATATGATGATCGAGAGCGATTTTAATCAAGAAAATGACTTCTATACCCTTAGTTTGGTAATGGAAAAAGTGGACACACGTAATAGAATGATTTTACTCCGAGTATTTAAGTCCATCACATTGTTTACTTAATTTTTAAAACGATTTTTTTTGCACATAATAGACAAGTTAGACATGTAGTGTCATTTTAACCTCACCTTTTAACGTTGTTGTATTGAAAATGAAGTTCATAAATCGTACTTCCAACTAAACGTCTTTTTACTTTTTCGAAATGTTTTTAAAATTCAAACCGGTTTTGAAAATATTGCGTTGGGAGAAACAAATTAGGCGATGAAAATGACAGTACATTAGGATTAATAATATGATTTAGATGCATTTACAAAATTTAAAATCATAGAAAAACTTGAATTAAAAGTTGCATTATGAGATGTTAAAGTCATATTACAATGAATTGAACCCACTCATTTCAATTAATGTCAACAAGTTTGTAGAAAGGTTGCTATCAAACTAAAAGGACTCGTTCAAAACAAAGTGTTTGTGGATATAAATGGTAGCTTACTTGCTAGAGTGAAAATAGGACCAAAAAAAAAAAATCAATAACCAATTTTTAAATATTTTCCAAAGAAAAAAAAACTCCATACTTATTTTCTAAAATATTTTATGAGGAATAGAGTCGGTGGCTGGAGCATATGTCGCTCGTGTCAATAGCGACATTGTGAGGAGACTCTATATTGGTTGGAGAGGGAAAAGAAGCATTCTTATGAGGGAGTCGGTGGCTGGAGCATATGTCGCTTGTGTCAACAATGACATCGTAAGATCCCACATTGGTTGGAGAGGGGAAAAAAGCATTCCTTATAAGGGAGTCGATGGCTGGAGCATACGTCGCTCGTGTCAACCGTGACATTGTAAGATCCCACATTGGTTGGAGAGGGGAAAGAAGCATTCTTTATAAGGGTATGGAAACATGTCCCTAGTAGACACGTTTTGAAACCGTGAGGCTGATAGCGATACGTAACGAGACGAAACGGATAATATCGGCTAAAGGTAGGCTTAGGATATTACAAATGGTATCAGAGTTAGGCATCGAGCGGTGTGCCAATGAGAACGCTAGCCCTTAAGCAAGAGGGTGGATTGTGAGATCCCACATCAATAGGAGAGGAAAACAAAACATTTCTTATAAGAATGTGGAAACCTCTCCTTCGTAGACGCGTTTTAAGGGAGGATTGTGAGATCCCACATCAATGGGAGAGGAAAACAAAACATTTCTTATAAGGACGTGGAAACCTCTCCCTCGTAGACGCGTTTTAAAACCGTGAAGCTGATAACAATACATAACAGACTAAATCAGAGAATATCTACTCCCAATAAATTTAGGTTGTTACAAATATATATGAAACAAAACCCATTCGGTGGAATCCAAGAAAAAAGAGTGCAAACTTTTTGTCTCTTGTGTTTGTACTATATGTTTTTGTTTGTGTTTTGTGTTTTTTGTTTTTTGGTTTGATGTTTGTAGAGAGAGAAAGAGAAAAGAAAAGCATAATCATAGATTTGAAAACTTGTACAACTTTATAAAAAGATTTGACAATTTATAAATTTGACAACAGATCCCTCCACACATAATTTATAGTGGTAGGTGAGAGACAGTAGAGAGAGAAACTTTTCTTTTTTGTTTTAAACTTCCTTCTCGAGCTTACTAATGTTTTGTTCTTCGTCAAACCCACTCATAAACTCATATGGACATCCAATCATCCACTCCCTCTCTTTCAAAGCAAGAAGTAACGTGACCGTATTATTGGAGATGCAAGAGAATGTCGAAACCATTAAGTATCAAATTTAGATTCTAAATCTTAGGTATGGGACGTTTTGTTTGAACTCTAAACTCTTAATCGAAAGTATACACTTTATACCAACTTCAGTTGTACTATGCTTATATTGGTTTATATATATATTCTCTCGAAACTTAAAAGATGAGCCGAAGAGCATTAGAAACATGTTTGAAGTGATAGGTTGGGTGGTTGTTTGTGGGCCAAAACAGAGGTTTAGTAGGCAAAGTATTGTTGTATACAAGTGTGAAGCATTAGAAAAATAAAAATAAAAATATTAATACAAAG